ACCTCCATTATTTGAATGTCAGCAGACAGCAAGAAGCCTCCCAGATCTCCAGATGCATTTGAGATATCAAAAAAGTACCCCAGGGTGTTGTTCAGCATGGGGGTGAGTAGAAAATGAAGGCTAATCATGTTTTGGGTGTACTATTCCTTTAAGTAACATAAGATAAGAAATATTTCTGAATTATCTGTTGATAATCACAGTTCTCCAATTTATTAGCCAGAAATAGAAATACAGAAAATGCTATAAAATGATTTATTTAAAAAGTAATTTAAAAGCTGATTGGAGAACAAGTTGATGAAGTACTACAAAAAGATCTAAGAGGAACAAAAACTGAATCCAAAAGGTTTGGGATTTCCTGTTATTTAGAGCTTCTGTCACCATCTATGTTCAGTAGAAAGATGTTTTGTTCCTCTTTTTCACTAATAACTCTAGGATATATATCTGCAGTATTTTATTATTTGATAAAATCTTTTTATAGACATTCTATGGCTGATTAATGCTAAAAATTTATATTGATTCATGGCCTGTTTTGATGTAGATTATATAGAAATATCTTTTCACCTTCCTTTCCCATTTTCTAATCTCTTTTTATATTGAATCCAAATATTAGGAATGCATTAAGGGATATTTTGATATTTTATGATTTATATGAATATTTTCAGTGGGAGTGGGGAGCTGCTGACCTTGAAGGAGGATATTGTCGGGCGGTGGAAGTAATACTTTGAGGATCTCCTCAACCCGACAGACACGCATTCCGTGGGGAAGAAGAGACGGGGTGCTTGTATTCGTTCATCACCCAGGCTGAAGTCACCGAGTTGGTCAAAAAACTCTACGGTGGCAAGGCTTCGGGGGTGGATGAGATCTGTCCTGAGTATCTTAGAGCTCTGGATGTTGTCAGGCTGTCATGGTTGACACGTCTCTTCAACATCGCGTGGAGGTTGGGGACTGTCCCCCTAGATTGTCAAAATGGGGTGGTGGTTCCCCTCCAGAAGAAGGGGGACCGGAGGGTGTGTTCCAACTATCGGGGAATCACACTTCTCAGCCTCCCCAGAAAGGCCTATGCCAGGGTGCTCACTGCATGAAAAGTGAGATTTTCGTCCCCGTAAACCCCCGTAAACTCCCGCAGATCTGCCTGATTTTCGTCAGTTTCCGACAATTTGCAACCCGTGCTTGTCCGCGTTTGTCGTGCCACAAATTGTCGGAAACGGACTCTGACGTATGTGGAGAGCGATCAGCTGTATGGCCCTAATTAGCATATGAATGCAACAAACCCGCGCGGCTGGCCAGGT